GAGCAAGCAGCCAGGGCTAGTGAAGTAATGCCAGTCAGGAGGCATGAAGTCACCCTGAGAGTGCTGGCAGGCCTAGGGTTGCCAACAAAGACAGATTGATACAAAGGAGGATGGAAAAGTCTCCATGTTTTGCCTTAAATTGGTTTTGATGCCAGCAGAGTGAGAAAATGCCAGAGACTCTGGGTGGGTGCCCCATGGTAAATGCACCAAACAATTCCCAAAAATTTTCCAGAACACTACTTTGTCCACATTCATTTTCTACACTCACAGTATCCCCTGCCAGAATGCAACACATCTCCAGCACTTTGAATTAGCACCAGAGCTTTAAGAGCTCTCAGCTGTCACCTGGAGATTGACAACAATAGTTTTTCAGGAAGAAATGACTTGTTTGGAGGGTGGGGTCTATGGCATTTTATCTGTCTGAGGTCCCCCTCTTCCTCCTCCTCAGACCCCACCCTGAGCAGGCTTCATCCCTAAAATATCCTGGAAGTTTCTAACCTGGAGTTGGCAACCCTATGTCCTTTCCAGCCAACTATCAGCCTACCTTTATCTGTCTTCAGGCATCTCCTCCCCGCTCCCTGCAGCCTCTACCTAGGGAAAGGGCAGTCTTTCCCTGCAATGGGAACAAAAGCAGCTGACATCATTCTCCTCTCCCCCATATGATCCTCACAACAACCCTGTGAGGTACGTTAGTTTGAAAGTGTGTAAATGGTTCATAATCCCCCAGGCAGCTTTTATAACATGGACCTGGGACCTGCACACCATCCTCTGAAGCACTATCAGGTACATATCACTGGCAGTGATAGGGTGACGGCTAGCACCTTTTCCTATCATTTTTTTTCCCTTGTGGTATTATGCTTGTGGAGTAATCTGTCTTTTTTGTGGTGTGGCGTAGATGTGTTATTGGGTTTGTTTCTTTTGAAGGGGAAGTGATGTGTTGTGGTTGAGGACATATTTTACCTCAGGATACACCAGGTTGCATATGCAACTCACAGTTCCAACTGTCTCGTGGGGGGGGATTTGAGGTGCGGAATGGAGTGAGGTCCAATCAGCTTCCATATGCAAATGACCTTGAACCACTGGCCCAATCAGAGAAGAGTGGCCTAGGCTGCAGTGGGTGGGAGAGAACTCAGGCAATGCAGCCAGAGGATAGGGACAGCTTCTGAGTGACAGACCATAGAGCCAACTGATTTGGGAGCGTGTGGAATGTTCACAAATTGCCACTATCAAAACAATTATATATGAGAAGAGATAAAATCACTTCTAACAATCTTCAGGAACATTCCAGTTGAACTTTGAAAATATCAGTAGATATAATACGGCACTTTAAGTGAAGTGGCACTGAAAAGCAGATCACTCAGTTGGCAGCAGTCAAGTCACTGGTTTTCAGCTCCAGCTCCACAACTGTACAATGAGAAAAAGAAACAGCAGACAGTGCTTAAAGACTTTAGACATTCCAAAGGGCAGATAAACGTTATGTAACATAAGAACATATGTTCTCCTCCTCTTATCTTCCATTGGAGGTTAGTGTATATACAATAGTCACAAAAGATCCCCCAGTATTGCATCTAATTCTACACATATAGAGGATTCTCGTACATGCATACTCTAATACAAAGACTAATTTGGGTCACAACATTATGAGAACTGTTCCTAGGATACCACAGTGCCAGAATGCCCTTGACATATTGGCACATTTCCTGTAAAGCCCAGCTTTGAGTGCAACCTTGTCACTGCAGTTCTGGCCCTGGAGGCAAGGACCGCAGTGAGTTGTACACAGTTATCACGGCTTCTTGAAACGTCTGGATCCCACTAGCATTGGTGGCTTGCTAGAGGTGAAGGAGTCTCTCATACAGTGGACCCAAAGAACTTTTTGTCCCCCAGAGTCCTGTGGAAACAATTTAAAAAATCTTAGTGAAAAAGTCAAATGAGGGCCATTAACCCATAGCTCTGTGTATTCCCATGTAGCTTAAAAAAGAGAGGCTCATCTGAGGCATATCAGCAGAGATCCTGTCCTAAGCCATACCTGAAAGTGAGACAGTGGCTCCATGAACCCTCCAGTGTCTTGGGAGGAACAAAAATGATAACACAAATATCAAAGTTTCACCTATTGTTTTGCATATGATTTGTGGGATGATAAACACCTGGGGCATCCCATGTGTCACTTCTCAAATTCAGCACCTCAAGCGTCCACTTCTTGAGTACAATGATTCAGAAAGGTCTAGAAACATTGGCTCATGCCACCCCTCAGACCAATGTCATCTGCTAGCTCTACCAGTTGGAAGACATCACTATCTCTGAGATGTAGAATATTGCATATTTTACAAAAAATACAGGATCAAGATGAGATTTTCATTAGATAACTGCTTAAATCACACTGCGAGGGGGGATTTTAAAGTACAATCCATTTAGAGAGAGTCTAAAAACTTGAGAATCATTGCAATAAACAATGCTTTTTTAGATGAACCAATTATTTCATGCACTCAGAAGTATTTTTCTTCATAACAGATGTGATCTTTTTTAATATTAAGTTGTCTTCTATTTTCATCTTTTAAAATCTGAAATAACACTTAGCAATAAAAAAAGAAGGGGGAGCTTTCAGCTGTTTTACTACACATATGTAGTAAACTTAAAAGAATAGTTCATTCTCTGAAAGTCAATTGATGCTTTCCCCTTGTGGCTCTTTGGCCAATTCCTTTGGAAATACATGACTAATGAACACCCTAGCTACAATGACATTTGGGATTTATTTGTTTGGTTTAATGGGCATGAATGATTTATAGATCACATATAAAATTGCTTGTAAGATATCGCTCACTCTTTGGTAATGACAAAGGACAGACATGCTGCATTGAATCATAGTGCTTGAATAAAAGGGTAAGTGAGACCTAGATCCCGGTCACACGGGAGGATTTGCCCCGCAAGAGGCATGGATCGGGGGCGCATCAAACGGGTGCCATCACACCGCAACATCTGGGAAGCAGAGCGCACCCATCCCCGATCCGTCCCTTCCTGCCGAAACCGCGCATCAAAAAAAAACCAAACTAGAAAACACTACTACCTACCTGAAAATCTGCATCAAGGGCGGCCGTGGGATCACCGGTGCGCCCGTCTCCGGCGGCCTGCAAGGCCCCCGGCCAATCTGCGCAGACATGCACATGCGCAGCGGGCTGCCTCGCTCTCCATTCTGTGGCTTCCCCCCCCCAGCATCTGATCGTGCCGGGGAGCAACTGTGTGGCAGCTCGAGGGATCTGTCTGATCCCGCCGCCATACGTCTCTTTTGATGCAGCTCAAAAAAGCCGCACTTTGGCCGTGTCTTTTCCCCCAGTGTGACGGGGCCCCTACTCTATCAAGAGCAGTGAAGCTGAAGAAGGATGTTTAATTCTATACTCCAAAACTTGAACACCATGTAGAAGAAGCTGCAGAACCTCTCTACTGATTTAAGAATAGTAGTTAATTTTGCATGCTTTCCCTCCATATATTGTTCATGTGTTCATTTATTCTCCTCTCTAGAGAAAGCTTATTAGATCAAGTCATGGGGAGGACTGATGCTGTTGGACTCTTAAGAAAATAAGAAGAGCCCTGATTAAGAACATAAGAAGAGCCCATTGGTTCATCTAGTCCAGCATCCTGTCTCACATACTGAGAACCAGTTCCTCTGGAGGGCCAGCTACAGGGCACAGAAGCCAAGGCCTTCTCCTGATAGCACTGGGATCCAGAGGCTAATTGCCTCTGAACATGGAGTTTCCCTTCAGTGATCATGGCTAGTAGCCACTGATATCCTCCATGAATCTAGGTAGTCCCCTTTTAAAGCTGTCTATTTGTGCGGCCATCACTATATGTTCTGGCATTGTCGACTCAGCTTTAAATGTTTCAGGAGGGTAGCTGCCTCAGTCAGCAGTAGAAGAGCTGGTTGTGAGTCCAATTGAACCTTACCAACCAAAAGGGCTTTAGAAGTTTTCTCCCTTTGACAGATACTTAAGCTTTAAATGGTCTCCCTTGGCACAATAACTTTGACGGGGATCTGTGCTTCATCCAAAGGAAGACATTAGGCTTCATTCCAAGCTCAAAATAATATCTATGGAACAAATTGGTTCATTTTGCTGATTCATATGGATCAGGAGGGGCTTTAGTTTGTAGATGCATTATATGAAGGATAGTCCCAATTTTCCTTACAGCAAGATGAGTTGAATGGAGAAAGGGTGATTGGCTCAAGGTCATTGAGTAAGATTTATGTCTCAAGAAGGATGTACCATAGAACCAATGAGAAATCAAGGGAAGGCTGTCGTGTATGAACTGAACTGACCCTTACACCTGCACAGCTTCTGGTGTGTCATAGTAAACAAGGTGATGTGCTTTGACTTGTCATGTGTTTGACAGCATCCAGTTTCTGTTTTCGTAGCTAGATGCACACACCAAAAAGGACACTTCTAATGTGGTTGCATTTTTCAGAAAGCAGCATTTTCCAAACAGCCCTGTTTTATGACTACTTTCCTCAATGGATACGTGGGTGGCATACATGGATCTCTCCCTCCCCATTTATTACTCTCACAACCAGCCTTTCAAGTAAGTCATCAGTTGAATCACTAAAACACTAGCTCTTGCTTCTGTTGTCTTACAGAATGAAGATTTGTTTTGACAATGATGTGAAATGAAAGGAAGACAATGAAACCTTTGCTCAACTTCATCAGGAATGTTGCTCTTCTAGATATCAGTCAAAAGTCCATGAGATATCCTTGTTGTTCAGTCATCTTTCATTTAAGAGAGAGGGAAAACACCTGCTTCTTCTTTTTTGTACTATGGAGTGATGGCTTCACTCCGTCTTGTATTGTTTAGTATTTCCAGTTGATTGTTGCTTTTTTGGGGTAGCCAATGTGGAATGATATTGGTTCTAATTTTTTCCCTCATTCCTTCAGCACCATTGGCTGTAAAAGGGTTTTTAAAATAAATTATTAAACAAAACAACAAAAACTGATTGTAGTGAGTGAAAAATTGGTTAGATGGAAATTAACTCAGACAGAACCCTTGATGTAAATGCAAGCAAAGGCATAGAAGAGGGTGAATATAATGCTGGCAAATCATTGTTGGGAAACAAAAATGCTACAGGTTCATCTGCATTCATCCTGGTGGGTTTTGCAGAGGCTCACAAATTTCATTCCTTAATTTTTGCAGTGTTGATGTCTTTATACATACTCACCATAATGACAAATATGCTGATTATCCTGATCCTAAAATCGGATGCTATCTTTAACTCTCCTATGTACTTCTTTCTGATGCACTTGGCTGGCTTAGAGGCCTTCTACATGACTGTTATCATCCCCAAATTATTGGAGAACTTAATGGTGGAGACTACATTCATTTCCTATATAGGGTGTGCCTTGCAGATGTTCTTCTTCCTATTTTTTGGAGTAGCTGAAAGTTTCCTCATGGCTACAATGGCAATTGATAGATATGTTGCAATATGCCACCCATTGCGCTACAGAACAATTATGAGTAAAAATGTCTGCCTGGTGATGGTGGCTGGTCCATACCTATGTGGGACTGCAGTTGGACTGATCCACACCATTGTCACATTTTCTGGAAAATTCTGCAGCTCTGTCATCAATCACTTCTTCTGTGAAGTACAGCCATTGTTGGAACTACTCTGTGGAGACACTTATTCAAATGAAGTCCTAATAATGGGAGTAGCTATCTTTGCTATCACACTACCATTCTCGCTGATTATCCTATCTTACATTGGCATTATATCCACCATATGTGGGCTACCATCCTCAGAGAGCAAGTATAAAGCCTTCTCCACCTGTTCCTCACATTTGATCGTGGTAATTCTCTTCTATGGCACATGTAGTGCCGCATACTTAAGACCCAAATCTAGCTACTCTCCTTCATTGGACAAGATCTTGTCATTTTCTTATAGCATTGTAACTCCGCTATTAAATCCAATCATCTACAGTATAAGAAATAAAGAAATCAAAGGTGCTGTGCAAAAGCTTTGGAGGAAAATGATGTCACAGTGACTGTAACAATGGATGGGAACATAAATAGTTGGACAAAAGATTTAACATATTAAAATTAAAATATTTGAAATGGCCTCACATTTCAGTTTAGATTCTTCAGTATAAATCATTTGGCAAGTGAAAATGGGAGAATTGGGATGAGAATTGTCCCCATGCAATCTCTATTGAAAACTAAAATGTTGCATAGAAGGGGCTGTGGCTCAATTTAATAGGGAGGGTCCATGACTCAGTGGCAGAGCATCTGCTTGGCATGCAGAAGGTCCCACATTTATTCCTCAGCATCTGCAGTTAAAGGACCTGGTAATAGGTTATGTGAAAGACCTCTGCCTTAGACCCCAGAGAGCCTCTGCCAGTCTGATCCGACAGTACTGATCTTAATGGGCCAATGGTCTAATTCAGTATAATATATATAAAGCCGTAGTCCAACATTCCAAAATGCACTCCTTTAGTGTATGGCCGGAAGAACTGCCACTCAGAAGACGCTGGCTGGGTTGACTGGCTGCTTTGTGCAGTCCCGCCCAACGTTTCAAGGTCTTTTGCATATGGAAGCTGATTGGACCTCACTCCATTCCACACCTCAAACTCCCCCCCCAAGACAGTTGGAATATAGGACCTGGTGTATTCTGAGGAGGATGTCAGCTGCTTTGCTTCCCACTGCAGGGAAAAACTGCCCTTTCCCTTGACAGAGGCTGTGGGGGGGGGGATGTAAACCAGAAGACAGACAGGCAGATCAAGGTAGGCTGATGGTTGCATGGAAAGGACATAGGGTTGCCAACTCCAGGTTGGAAACTTCCAGGATATTTTAGGGATGAAGCCTGCTGAGGGTGGGGTTTGAGGAGGAGGAGGAAGAGGGGGACCTCAGACAGATACAATGCCATGCTGCCCACACTCCAGACAAGCTGTTGCCAGTCTCCAGGTGACAGCTGGAGAGCTCTAAAAGCTTTGGTGCTCATTCAAACTGTTGCAATTTATCGACAGAGTAGTGTTTCGGAAAATCTTTAGGAATTGTTTGGTGCATGGGGAACTATTGTTGCCAATCTTGGCCCAGCAGCCATCAAACCATTCTCTTCAACCCCCTGCTGTGCAGCTGACTTTCCCCTAGGGTTGCCAATCTCCAGGTGGGACCTGGAGATCTCCCACTGTTACAATTGATCTCCAGATGACAGAGATCAGTTCCCCTGGAGAAAATAGCTGCTTTGGAGGGTAGACCCTATGACATTATACCTGCTGAGTCCTTCCGCCCCCCCCCCGCCCAATGCTGCCCTCTACAGAATCCACCCCCCAAACCTCCAGGTATTTCCCTCCTTAGAGCTGGCAACCCTACATTCCCCTCAGTGCCTGTTGGTAGGCAACTAAGCTTGGTCCTGTCACCTATTTTGGGCTTTGGGAGAAAACACATTGGGGCCAGTCCTGATAGGGTTGCCAACTCCAGATGGGAAATTCCTGGAGATTTGAGGGATGGAGCCTGAAGAGGGTGAGGTTTGAGGAGGGGTGGGACCTCAGACAGGTACACTGCCATAGACTCCACCCACCAAACCAATCAGTCCCACATAGGGAACCATTGTTGCCAATCTCCAGGTGAGGGCTGGAGAGCACTCAGAATTACAACTGCTCTGCAGAAGGGAGGGCAGATGTCAGCTGAAGTCAAAGGGGCAGATAATGGTAGGTTGATGGTTAGCTGGGAAGGAGATGGGGTTGCCAACTCCACCCTCCAAACCAGCCATTTTGTCCTGGGTAACAATTGCTGCCAATCTCCAGGTGAGGGCTACAGATCACTCACTATTACAACTGCTCTTCAGGTAGCAGAGATCAGTTCCTCTGGAGAAAACAGTGGACTCTGTCATTATACCCTGCTGAGGTCACCACAGCAAATTGACACTGTTTGCCCAAAGCCAGAGCACTCCCCCAGAGCCTCTTTCTAGATCCCGTTGTATTGCTTTCACAACGGGCTTTACTGCTAGTTCAGTATAAGGCAGTTTCATGTTTTCATGTGTGTGCATGACAGAAAATGTATTAGTGCTTTACAAGGGAAGTGGTTTTGAGATTCATGCATGCATACATGCACACGCATATATACACATGAGTTTTCCCCCACTGGAATAGATAAGTGGGAAAAGTGCTGAAACTTCTCTTGAGATCATAGTCTGTGGTGGGATCTTGTACTAACTTTTCTGGTTAAAAGAAATTGTTCTCACGCCATGTCTTTGTCCATGTATTATTAGGGGGGTTCTGCCCTGCTAGCTCCCTTCACCATTCCTGAAGTTTGCTGTGCTCATGATGTTTAACAGAACACTGAATACTGAATGAGCAGCTTTGTCTCCTGCCCAAAGACTACACCAGAGGAAGTAAGCAATAGCAGGAGCAACCATCCCTTTTTGCAAACTGTAGCCAAAATTGGATTTATAAGAAACTAGGAATAAGGCCCATTGTGGAAATAAATACAACGAGCTCTAGAAAGAGGCTCTGGGAGAGTACCCCAGCCTTGGGCACTCAGCGTCAGTTTGCTGTGGCTACCTCAGCAGGGTATAATGACACACAGTTCACCATTTTCTCCAGAGGAACTGATCTCTGCTACCTGAAGAGGAGTTGTAATTTTGAGTGATCTCCATCCCTCACCTGAAGATTGGCAACAATGGTTCCCCAGGAGGAAATGGCTGGTTTGGAGGGTGGAGTTTATGGCATTGTACCTGTCTGAGGTCTCACCACTCCTCAAACTCCACCCTCTCCAGACTCCACCCCTCAAGTCTCCAGGAATTTCCCAACCTGGAGCTGGTAACTCTATCTCCTTCCCAGCCAAGCATCAACCTGCCATTATCTGTCCCTCACTCTTCAGCTTTCCGTCTCCCCCACAAACACCTGCAGCCTGTACTGTGCTCTGAAGCCCTGACTATGTCCCATTGGCTATCATAGGAGGACCATCTCAGCATGGTATAAGGACACCGAGTCCACCATTTTCTCCAGGGGAACTGATCTCTACCATATGGAGCACAATTGTTATTCTGAGTGGTCTCCAGTCCTCACCTGGAGATTGGTAACAGTGGTTTCCCACGAGGAAAAGTAGTTTTTCTCTGCAATGGGTACCAAAGCAGTTTACATCATTCTCTTCTCCCCCTTTTGACTTGCACAACAACCCTGTGAGGTAGGTTAGGCTGAAAGTCTGTGACTGGTCCAAAATCACCCATTCAGCTTCCACAGCAAGAACCTGGGTCTAGCAGACCATGCTCTGAAGCGCTGACTGCTATGCCTAGGGTAACCAACCTCCAAGTGGAGCATGAAGATCACCAGGTATCATAGACTCCACCATAAAATCTCCAGGAATTTCCCTACCTGGAGCTGGCAACCCTAGCTCAGAACTGGCCCCAATGAGTTTTCTCCCAAAAGCCAAAATAGGTGTGGAAAGGGACTTTTTCTGACAGAACCAAGCTTGGTTGCCTTGCAACAGGCACTGAGGGGAAACTAGGGTTGCCAGCACTGAGTAGGGAAATACCTGGAGAGTTGGGAGGGCGGATCCTGTGGAGGTCAGCATTTGGGGAGGGGAAGGACTCAGCAAGGTTTAATGCCATAGGGGAACTGATCTCTGCCTGGCAGACCCTGCTCTGAAGCGCTAACTGCAACGCCTAGGGTAGCCAACCTCCAGGTGGAGCCTGAAGATCACTAGGTATCACAACTGAACTCCAGACAACAGATATTCCCCCCGGAGAAAATAACTGCTTTGGATGGTGGGCTCTATAGTATTCTGTTCAGCTGAGGCCTCTCCCCTCCCCAAACTCTGGCTTCCTTAGACTGGCTTCAGACACGGAATATCCAGGAATTTTCCAACCTGGAGCTGGCAACCCTAGTCACGATGGGTCCCAATGAGTTCCTCATGAAGGCCTGGAAATGAAGGACCCAAGCAGGAGAAGTGACTTCATCGGGAGAGACAGCCGTTAGTCAGTAATTCTGACAGGGAACAGTGGCCGAGGTGGGAGTGGGTGGGGAAGAGGAGCAGACCCAGCACCTGACCAATGGCACATCAGTACTCTTGAGTGGCGGCTGACAGGCCAATGGCTGATGGAGCACATTGCACAGCCAATGGGAGAGCTGGAAAGTGCCACCCCACTACTCAATTATATATAAGGAGAGATGTTACACCCTACCATTCTCCCCAATGGGGAAACTAACAGGCTTACATTGTTTTCCTCTCTTGCATTTTATACTCACAACTGTGAAACTGCCATGCATGCAGGTTGCTATACACAAAAACCAGTTAATCATCATCAATGCATCCGCGAAGCTCCAGAACCAGAAGATTTATGCTTCTCCTTGTTGGCCTGTCTGCTTCAATCATCCCCTAGACAAAAACATTTAGACACAATTCTGGCCATTTTAGTAGGCCCAAATACTGTGATGGATAAAGTTTTATTTCTCCTTGCAGATGAGGAGCCAGTAGTCTCCCACAAGGTTGCTCTTTTCACCCCAGCTGCCAAGAAAATCCAGACTAAGTTAATGTCCAAAGACCAGGCCAGCAAAATCTTATTCTTTTCTAGAGACAACTGGATGAATTTCTAAATGACCACTATTATTAAATGAATTTTAATTGCTATGAAAATGTAACCTTTAATAGTTATGGCTACAATCTAGTTTTAATGTTTTGTTTATTCATTGTTCTTTTACATGTTTGGTCAGGGTTTAAAATAGTCTATGCTTGAGATTAATGTATGATTTTATTCTGATTGAAGGCTTCTACTTGGGCCTACATTTGTTTTTATCTAATTTGTAATAAATATATTTTCTGTATATTTGGCAGTATTCATGTTTTAAGTTTAGATACAGAATTATTGGGCCATTATTTTCTTATTTCTTTAAACATTTGGTTCTTAATTAAATGGAATATGAACCAGGTCCCCGTCTGACACTCTACATTAAAATGCCTTTCAAGTAGGAAAGTAGTTATGATTTGTGATTTATATCATTATGGTAAGTATTACTCTAGTATATTGGTAACAATAAGTGTTGAAATG